GTAAATTTCCGTCCATTCTTTTCTGGCCTGATGTGTTTCCGTTGAGAAATCATTTGATAGTCTAATGGGAGATCCCTTGTATGTAACTTTCCGCCTCTCTCTTGCAGCCTTTAAGATTCTCTCTTTGTCCTGAACACTTGCCATGGTAATTATGATGTGTCTTGGTGTGGGTCTTTTTGGGTTCACCTTGTTTGGGACTCTCTGTGCTTGTGTGACTTTTTTCTTCCCCACCTCAGGGAAGTTTTCTGATATTATTTCTTCGAATAGGTTTTCTAATCCTTGTTCCTCTTTCTGTTGTTCTGGCACCCCTATTATTCGTATGTTGTTTCGCTTCATGTTGTCCCAAAGCTCCCTTAGGCTCTCCTCCTGTCTTTTAATTTTTTTCTCCAATTGCAGTACAGTTTGGGTGTGTTTTGCTTCTTTGTCTTCTAATTCACTAATTCGGTCCTCCGCTTCTCCTAGTCTACTGTTGATGCTTTCAATGGTGTTTTTTATTGCAGCTATATCGCTCTTCATTTCTTGTTGGGTCTTACATAAGTTATTGATTTTTTCATCTGTTTCTTCTTGCTTCTTGCATAAGTAATTGATTTTTTCATCTGTTTCTTCTTGCTTCTTGAATAAGTTGTTGACTTTTTCCTCCGTCCGGTGTATGCACTCTAGGACCCTTATTCTGAATTCTTTTTCTGTCATGTTGCATGCCTCTGTCTCACTTAGCTGCTTTTCTGGCGAGTCCTCCTTTTCCTTCCTTTGGGGGTTTCTTTGCCTACCCATGTTTGATCTCGCTGACATATGTAGATGTTGAGTCATTCAGTGGCTGCTCCCTGGGTGGCAGGGCTCCTTGGGTTGTGGTTGCTGCTCAGACAGTTGCCGTAGCAGCTGCTTCCCAGTTGGCAGCAGCTCCTCTGGTGGGTGCTGTTCACAGCTGTGGTGGCTCTTCTGGCTGGTGGGGGTAGGCTTCACGTACAGCTGCTGTTCCTCAGACAGAGGGTGTGGTGATCAGGAGGCTGCGGTGATCAGGGGGCTGCTGTTGCTTGGATCTGCTGCGTTGATTTAAAGGCACAAAATACAACACAACAAGGCACAACGTACCAGGCACTGAACACAAGTATATTCACGATATTAATAACCCCAAATAAAGGTGACCACCCAAATTAAGAGAATTAGGGGATAAGGGAGAAAGAAGAGAAGAAGATAAAAGAGAGAAAAGAAAAGAAAAATAAGAAAAAAACAAACAAAAAAGGAGTGCAAAAATAGAATTGGGAAAAAAGAGGGGGGAAAAAAGAAAAAAAAAAGAGCGAAAAGAGAGAATGAAGTAGAAGCGGGGAAGAGACTATTTGTATGAGGAGCAAACTCCAATAGAACTGCCACTAATCTCAACAAATTCCAGCAACAGATCCCTGGAGATGAGTGCAAACTACAAACCACCAATAATATCAAGAGGGGCAAGGGAAAACAGAAGCACAAAAATAACCGGGGTGGGGGGGGGGAGGGAAGGGAAAAACCAGCAGAAAAAAAGAAAAGAAAAAGAAAAACAACCTCACAGCCAGTCCTAAAAAAGAAAAAGAAAAAACACAAAACAAAACAAACAAATTTAAAAAAAAACCTTAATATATTCAACAATCAAGAAAACAATAGAAAGATAAGAGAAAAAAATGTTTGGAAAGTGAAGAAGGATAAAGAATAGGTGTATAAGGATTTAGAGCAGTGGATTGGAAATAGGATATATAAGTAGGGTGGAATTAGACAGGGGGTAAAAAGAAGGAATTGGGAAAATCTGAAGCAGGAATAGGGTAAGAGAAACAGGACACCAAAAGGGGAAAAGTGAGGAAGAGGGTTTTAGCAAAGAGGTGAAATTGAGATAGGAAAAATTAATGCTAAAGGAATGATGAAAATAGAATGGAGAACACTAATCCCAAAAGAAAATAAAGAGTAAATAAAATGGCACTTTAAAAAATGGTAAAATGGTAGCAGTAATAATGCTGGTTAAAAATAAAAATATAGTAATTGAAAGGGTAAAATCAGGTGATGGAAAAAGAAGAAAAAGAAAAAAATTGGTTTCTTAGTAAAAAGGCGAAAAAATAAAAAAAAAATAAAAAGAAAAAATTTGCAGTAGTAATGGTCTTTCGGTTCTTCTACTCTTCAGCCTGGTTCGCCTTAGTCCTGCCAGGTATTTAGGAGAGTGTTGAATTTCCCTGCGTTACACTGTTCCTCCGTGTTGTAAATCACAGTCCTGATTTTAAAGCAGGCCGTATTTGTGATCCAGTCTGCCTTAATTTGTATTCCCCTAAGAGTCAGTTTGTGGCTCAGCCTCTGGGTGGCAGTGTTTTTGGGTTGGCCTCTGAGGCTATACAGCTTCTCTATCCTTTTTTAATCCTTACCCTGCTCTGTGTTGTTGGTGGGACTGAAAGTCCCTCTATAGGCCAGACCCTGGTAACTCCCAGGGACTAATCAGCTTGTTTTAATCCTTTATCTCATACAGGGTGGAATCTGGGTGTGGCTGTGCTCCTTGCCTGGGGGGCTGGGGGGAGGAATTCCACCCTCTGGAGGGAATGGCTGTCCCAGTCCTGGGCCCAGGGGTGTCTCAGCACTCAATTTGCTGCCACCTCCCCCGGCTCCCCCTCTCTCCTCAGCCTCTCCCCAGATTCCACTCGTCCGCACCTTCGCCCTCTCTTCGGCACAGGTGAGTGTCTGTATCCAAACTGTCCTATGAGCAGGGTTCAGTGAAAACAAATAAACAAACAATGCCGGCCGACGCCGGCCGGCCGCGGAAACGCTCCTCTCTTACCGGTCTGGGAAACGCTCCTCTCTTATGGGCACTGCATGGTCTGGTCAGTTCCTCAGGATGCCCCCTTTAGTCTCAGTTCTCCGCAATCACAAAATCCAAATCTCAAATCTCCTGGCGCCAGCAAACCCGCGGAACTCCTTACCCCGGTCAGGGTCTGTGTCTGTCCCAAGAGATGCGGCTGTCTGCCATGCGTCTCCCTCCGACCCTCTGGGCTCAGGTCTGGCAAACTTTCCTGCCCAGATCCCTGGTTTTTAACCTTTTCAGGGGAGCTCTGCCCTTCCAGGCTGCAAACCGTCTCACCAACTGAGTAAATTCGCCAATTCGGGGTGGGTGTTAGTTTCAGCTGCTTACTCCGTTTGCTCCGGGACAAGACCTGGGACGCGTCTCATCAACTTCTTGCCCTTGGGTCTGCAGAGGCCACTTCCGAGTTGGTAGTTTTCTGTTTTCGAAAGTGGTGGGCCAAGCCAGGGTGCATTTCTATGAGTGGCAGGTCTAAAGAAGTTTGTTTAGGTGAGGTCAGGTGCAAATGCCTTTGGGCTTTTGACCCTTAACAAGTCCCTTTCAGGCCCATCCTTGTCTCTACTACCCAAGAAATGAAAAGTGGCACTATTTCTCTCAACAAAGGCTAGATTCCCCGTAAGTCCCAACCCTGCCTGCCTCTCCTCTCTCATGTTTCCTTGTTTTGCCTTGTTTTGCCTTTTCTTGTCTTCTACCATCTGGCACACACAGTTTCCGTCACTGGACTTAAGAGCCATGAGAACAGGGCCCTGTCTGTTTTGTTCACTATTACTTTTCCCAGTGCCTGGTACACAGTAGGCACTCAATAAATGAACGGAATCATTGAAGAAACTGTGCAGGTATTTCTAGGCATACTATGCGTAGTTGTGGTTTCACATTCTGGCAGCTTTGAAAGCCCTGTGTACCTCATTTTGTGAGCTGGTTCAGGTTTAAAGACACTCGGTGAACCCGTACTATCACCATTGTCCACTTAGGATTTGAGATGCCTTTCTCCTCAAGCCCAGGTTTCCCCTCGGTGTCAGCTGCCACCACTCTCATATGAAGGCCAGCTTTCTCACGGGCCTGGCTCAGGCTCCTGGGCTGACGGCTGGGCATCCCGTGTGCCCAGGATCTCCTTTCTAGGGGGTGGCTGGGCCCAGCTGCCCTGCCCTGGGAGGCACGGAATGTAGAATCAAGGGGCTAGTTTTAGGGCAGAGTAAGTCCTCTTGTTCCTCAGAGTCTGTTCCCCCAGCTTGTGAATCAGGGTTTTTTGTGCTTGTTTGTCCATTGGGTGGTAGTGGGTACTTTGTACATTGTCAAGTACCAGGCCTGACTCTTCATGTCCTGGCAGTTCATGGGAAAATGGAGAAGAACATAATGACTGGGCAGTTGGAGATTTTAATTAGCCTTCTCCTTTCCCCAGGAGGCTCACAGACAAGGGATGAGGCTGATTGCAAATATTTTATTTCAAACAAAGACATAGGAACAATAGCAATAGCTAACAGCTGAGTGTTGTACTAAGAACTTTGTTTTCCTCACCCGAGGATATGTTTTTATTGATATTTTAGAGAGGAAGGGAAAGGGGTGGGGGGAAGAGAGAAAGAGAAACATCGATCAGCTGCCTTTCTGCCCGGGGGATAGAACCCACAACCTAGGTATGTGCCCTGATCGGAAATCAAACCCTCAACCTTTTGGGTGTATGGGATGATGCTCTAACAAACAGAGCCAGCCACCCGGCCAGGGTCAGAGCACTTTTGCATGAGTCCTATTTCATCTTCAAGTAATCCTACGATTAGTCTTTCAGCCCAGTTTTACTGATGAGGTAGGTAGTTCAGTGCCTTCCTCAAGGCCACATGACAAAAGACTGAAGGAGCTTCAAACCGAGGCAGTCTGACCTCGGAGCCCCAGATTCTTACTCCTGCCTTCCCCTGATTTAGCAGTCCGGGCTCAGAGATTATGTTCTGCACTCTGTGCTTTAAGGACCCGTTGTTACTGAGTCCACAGCCACACCGAGATGTCTTGAGTGAGCTCACACCTGTGGCTGTGGTTCCCTCTTCCGGAAGGCAGTCTTGAAGGCCTAGTGATAGCCTGGCTGGGGTGCTATGGGAAGCAGGGGCCGTCTTCTGGGCGCCTTTCCAACACTGTGACACCTGCGACACGGAGGCACCACGGCTGAAGTGCCACAGACTACTGACACAGGGCCTGTTTGTCTGTGCAGGTACCATCTCTTTACCCCACACTCAAGTGACACAAAATGCCCTTCAATGGTGGCGAGAAGCGGTGTGTGGGTGAGGACCAGCAGAGCGACTCAGATTCTTCCCGGTTTTCCGAAAGCATGGCTTCGCTCAGTGACTATGAGTGCTCCAGGCAGAGCTTCACAAGCGACTCCTCCAGCAAATCCAGCTCTCCTGCCTGTAAGCTGACGGTGCGGGAGGGAGTGGGATGGGGGGGTGGTGCGGGGAGGGAAGGGTCCAGGCCTGTGTGCCGGGTTCTAAAACTAAGAAAGGCCTGAGATCAGAGGGTACACTTCCCTTCTTTCTAGATCTACTGGAATAGCACTGCGGGGGCCCTGCGGCTACCTTGTGCAGACTCTTGGGAATAAATAGCCACGCAAGTTTACAACCTGCCCCTTTTTTCTTTTCATCTCTGTCTCTGGTCTGCTTTGGTTCAGGTTTAAAGACGCTCAGTGAACCCGTACTAGCACAATTGTTTGACTATAAATGCACCCCACCTGTCTTTCTCAGTAGTGGAAACCCAGTCCTTGACATGACTTCTTGGACCACATTCAAGGATAAATTCAAATTGGTCTTTTCTGATCATTTCTGATTTACATGAAAGAAAAGTTGCCCCAATTCAAGGGTCATGGAGGAAGTGAAACAATCTGAAGAGTTTCCTGCTGATTTCAAAAACTATTGTGCAAATCACCCCAGAAAAGTGCCCATGAGGCGAATTACTACACTTGGAGGGTGAGAAAGCATTAAAAGAGTGGCCTCGCCCATGGACACAGACAATAGGGTGGTGAAGGCCTGGAGGGGGAGGGCAGGCTACAAGGGGTCAATGGGGGAAAAGGGGAACATATATACTTTTAACAATAAAGAATTGAGGGTGGGGGGGAAAAAAGGACACTTATGTAATACCCTTTGTAATACTTTTAGCGAAAAAAAAAAAAACAATAAAGAATTGTTAAAAAGAAAAGAAAAACAGAGTGGCCCTGCTGAAGGGAGACATCTTTTTCTTCCCCTTTTTGTGTGTGTGGGAGCTAGAGATGTATAAACAGGTGTGTTTGTCTTTTTTTTTTTAATTGGCATTTTGTATAGAAAATAGAACACTTGAGCTAACAAAGCAAATGCAGAAAAAAGCAACTAATGTTTAATATGATCAGATGCCCACTTCAAAAAAATTAGTTCATTTGTATTTATTTTCAATTTGTGCATTCTCATTTTTAAAAATTGGAGAGTTGATAAGTATAGAGAAAAACATTGCCTATGATATCATCTGAAGATGACAGCTGGAAGTGCTCAGTCATATCTTCATTCTTCACATAGACATTTCATTTTGAATTATAACTAAAGCATTTACTCATGATAATGTATTGTTAAAACATAGTTTTTATGACTACTTACTACTTTATCAAGTGAATATGATTATATTTATTTAACCATTGATTTATCATTGGACATTTAGTTCATTGGTTTTTTGTTTTGTTTTGCTGTTATAGTGTTTTATGAATACCTTGGTGGTGCATAAAGCCTTTTCAGGAATTCTTTTAATATAATTGGATTCTTAGACCAAAGGGTACAGACATTTTTAAGGAGATTTCTTTTGTTTGTTTTTTTAATCCTTACCTGAGGATATTTTTCTATTGATTTTTAGAGAGAGTGGAAGAGAGAGGGAAAGACAGAGAGAAATATCGATGTGAGAGAAACACATCCATTGGTTGCTTCCTGCATGCTCCCCAACAAGGGCCCGAGCCAGGGAGGAGCCTGTAACCAATGTACGTGCCCTTGACTGGAATCAAACCGGGGGCCTTTAGGTTAGCAAGCCGACGCTCTAACCACTTAGCCAAAATGGCTAGGCCTTAAAGAGATTTCTTACTGGGACAGAGAATTGGCAAAAGAATTTGCTAGCAGCCACCCAGTTTTCTGTGCTTTTTCATACTCTTTATATTATATTCAGGGTTGATGCCTCTAAAAGGGTACCTAGGAATCCTGAAGAAGGGTTTTACTAATTCTGTATATCACCATTCCCTCTTCTTCCTCCTCCTGCTTCTCCTCCTCATCCTCTTCTTAATATTATCTTAGGTAGCAAAATATTGCTAGTCAGTACTGTTATTTGAGGTAATGATTTTTAGTTAATAGGAGCTAAGAGTTCCAACAGTGAGTTCAAAAGGGCCTGATTTATTACATAATTTTTAAAGAACAATCTTTAGAAATAGATTGATTATTTACTACTTCTTTCTGAGAAGTACATTATAAAGCTTATCAGATTTATTTTAATTATCTACATTTATTGAGTTCTTACTGTATTCTTTTTTACCAGAATTACCTTATTTAATCATCCCAGATCAGCCCTATGAGGAGGTCAGTTATGCCCCAGTGAAGTCAAATAATAACTACCAATTGGCAAAATTTAGAACCAAACCTAAGCATTTTGCTATACTGCCTATATTTTTAGAAATTATAGTTTTAAAGTCAGTTATTTCATATTAAGTCTGCTTAAATTAATGAGAGTTATGAATTACAAAATAAAAAGTAGTCATCAATTTCCTGTATATTATATGTAATAAATACAAATATAGGCACAAATATGAGATGATTTAATTTAAAATTTAAGTTAGCCTATATTAATAAGATTACCTCAAAAACATTGAAAATTTATCAATGCAGTAACAGAAGCTATCAAGGAGTTTTTAAATTTTTGAAGTCTTAAATATTAAGCAGGGGAATCCACCTATTTTAGTATATAGTCTCCTTACTTATAAAACCCTGAAAATATATGTTGGAATAACTTACACTCTAGTTGCATCAGGAAGCTTCACTGGATGACAACTTCTCTTCCACAACATTCATTGGTCTTTGCTTTTCTCTCAGCAGCAAGCCCTCCCAGGGTTGTAACGTTTGATGAAGTGATGGGTGCAGCAAGGAACTTGGAAAACATGACTCTTGTTCACGAAATTGCTGTAAATGAGAACTTTCAGTTGAAAAAAGATGCCCTCCCTGAGAACAGGTAACCTAGAGATGTTTGTTGTGCATAAACGGTACTGCAGATTGTGTGTGTGTGTGTGTGTGTGTGTGTGTGTGTGTGTGTGCATGCATGCACATATTCACACTGATTCCTGGAAATTCTTGTATAAGGTTGAATGGGACTAAACATTATCTGGTTCTCTAACAAAGTCCTGTACTTGAATTGAAAACCATTCCTCTGGGGTACATGTTACCCATAATCTTTAGAACTCAGCTTTTACGTCACTTCCTGGGTGAAGCTTTTCCTGACTTTCCTGAGCCCATTAGACGACATGACATCCCCTTGTTAAAGTCTCCTGTAGCCCCCTCTACCTCCCCGTTGTTAAGATACCTTATAATATTATGTTCAATGCCTGCCTTTCTCACTGGACCCAAGGCACCATTAATGGAGGAACTATGTCTGTATTGTTTGCTCTGTCCCTATTACCTAGCAGAGTACCTGACATATAATGCACGCACAAGAAATATATGTGGATTGACTTATTAAAAACTGATGTTTACACTGTGAAAAATAAGGAAATGCGGCTGAGTTGCCAACGTGCTCAGAAGAGACGTCCCCGAAGCCTCTGGATGAGGGAATCACAACTGCATAGGCTCCCGTCTTCAACCTCACGACAAGCCGCCTTCAGTTACAGACACACCCTTACACCCTCTCTCACCCTCTCCGGCTTCAGTGGCGGGGCCAACGAGGAGAAAGGCTTGTGGCCATGACTACAGATAAATCATCTTTAGAGGCAAAGTTGGCTCATGGGGAATGGCGCTGAGCCTTCAGCCTCACAGTGCCATTTATAAACCCAGAGGCATTCTCTCTATCGCTTAAGCCAACATATTTTATTCCATTCAGAATTTTTTTTTGTTTTAAAGTAGGACAGTAGTAAACAAGTTTTTAAAATATAAAATGTGGATCACAGTCTTCCTGCTCCCGGGGATGTTGTTCCTAATAATTCTTAATCTTGTTTAAGATAACTGGCCAAAGTAGGCGTGTCCGTTTGGTTTTCTGTGGTAACCGCACTTCACCATGATTGTTTATGCCAGCCCTAGGTGAGGGGTGTAGAGACTGGTAAGTAATTCTAGGGCAGGGAAATATGTGCTGTTCTCAAAGCTGTTGCAAAGTGGTGTTGTTCAGGAGGGATGTGTATTTTAGTGTGCACCTATTTTAGGACATGGACATAAGGGGTGAAGCAAGGCGGCCATCTATTCTATTGTGAGCTTTTCCTAGGAAGCTCCTATTTCAGCAGTTTGGTCTGGCTAACTTTAAATGGGACATGGAAGCTGAAATTGGCAGGCTTTCAAGTATATGTCTCCTTGGGGCCAATCTGTTCTGTTCTGTGCCACGAAATCTCAGCTGTTGAGGAAAGAGCAACTTTGCCATCTCATCCCAAAAATCTAGAATGAGTCTAAGAATCTGTGTAAAAGAGTAGCTAGGTAAATTCTGACATCTTCTTAGGCAAGAATTTTATGAACTTATTGAAAGCTATAGGAAGGAAGCATTTTAAAAGTCTAGGAGAAACACGACAGAATATTAAATGATGAAACAAGTATGTAATATTGTACATCTTGGGTGCTCTCTGTTAACACAACACATAAAAAAATGGAAATAGTGGGATGATGGCCAATTTTTATTCTCTGTTTTTCTCCATTTTCTAAGATTTCTACTATGAATATATTCCTTTTATAAACAGGGAAAACGATGCTCGTTTTAAAAAAAAGTCCATTTCATTCCTATAGCTTGGCCAGCCGAGTGAAACGCATCGTCCACCAGGCCTACTGGGATGTCTTGGAGTCGGAACTGAATGCTGACCCTCCTGAGTATGACCACGCCATCAAGCTGTTTGAAGAAATCAGAGAGGCAGGTTGACATTGTCTGTATTAATTAGTTATTGTCCTCTCCCCCCCAAGACTATTTTCATGTACTCAAAAGAGTATTAGAGACTCTTTTTAAAAAACTGAGCAAGTTCAGTCACTGGGAGGGACTTTTCCTGCACCTCCTAGAGTAGGTTGGAAGCTGGGAAAAGAGGCAGTGGAGGGAACTCGGGGTGATGGTAGTGCACAGAGTAGTGGTTAAAACCACAGACTCTAGAGTTAGATAGTTCTAGTTTGGTTATGGCCTCTCCCTCTTTACGTCTTATTTCCTGAGTCCTTTCAGGGTAATTGTAAGGACTAAATACGGTGACAGTTACAGTTTTAGCCAGCATTAACAAGACACTTGCTCTGTGCCAAGCAGTAGACTGTCCATTTATCCTTACCATAACACTGAGGTAGTCACACCTGTCATTTCATGTAAAGAAACCAAGTTCCCTCACTTGCCCAGGGTAACACAGCTTTGAGGGGTGGAAACTGAGGCACTCTGGCTCAGAGTGCTCCTGCCATGTGCTATGTGTATAAATACCATGTCTGCTATGTACTGAATATGTTATACTAATGGAGCCCATGGGGAGGATTCCATTTGCCCTTCTTCAATGGATTCTTTTGGAGCTACGATCTTCAACTCGTTCTTTCTTTGCACAGATTATCTATAAACCTTTGGAAGTTATTTCAGTAACATTGCTTCCTTACTAGTTGCTTTCATTCTGAGAGAATCAGTAATTTCCCATGAAAAGCAGGGGCAGGTAATGGGGCGGGGGGAGACTTTAATTCAGAAGCTAGATCTTTCTTTTTAGGGTTGAGACACTGGAGTGCTCTGATCCACCACCCAGTTCCTATAAACTTCTGTGGCAGCCAGGGCATTAAAATATGGGGTGGGAGCTTGGTCATCTAGACATCGAGATAAAAAGTGACAACCTTTACTCATGTAATGATGCTGCTAATTTTTCTTTCCTTTCCCTGTGTAGATTCTTCTCTCTTTTCTGATTCCTGGTAGTGGAAACCGGCTTCGCAACCAGATCTGTGAAGTTTTGGACACGGACCTCATTAGACAACAGGCTGAGCACGGTGCTGTTGACATCCAAGGCCTGGCCAACTATATCATCAGCACAATGGGAAAGCTGTGTGCTCCCGTGCGAGATGACGATATCAGAAAGTTAAAGGCCACTGGCAACATTGTGGAGCTGCTGAGGTTAGTTTAGCACTTGTGCTGCTTGCCTTTTCTTAGAGTACCTCTGAGGTCACACAAAGGGGAAGTGTGGGGATTGAGGGACACAGAGTAATAACTGGCCTCTCAGAGGACTCCTTGGCCATAGGACAACAAACAAACAAGAATTTAAGTCATTTGCTGTGTACATAGAGTTTTCAGATGGAATGATCTAACAGGCTTGTTAGTTGGCATGTGCTGGGCATTAGGGATGCAGTGATGAAAAAGAGACAATCCCTGACCCCAAGGAGTTCACAGTTGAGTGGGGAGACAGACCTTGAATAAGGAATTACAATTGTGGTAAGTGTTGTGGAAGGGGAAGTGTTGTGGAAGGGGAGACTCTAGCAGGGATGTAGTCAAGGATCTAAAAAGGTCTCTTTATTAGGGTAATGTTCGCTGTTGTAACACATAACCATGAATTCTCAGTGACTTAACCAATACAAATTTGTTTCTCCTTCATGCCACAATCCAAGTCAGGGGTTTTTTTGGTCAGGAAACCTTCCACATGCCATTCGGTAACTCAGGTTCCTTCTTGCATTGGCTCCACCCTTGCCCAGGTCCTCAGAGTCCTTTACATTCAGCTGGTAAATGGAAAGGAGATCATGGGGAAGGTGTATCCAGTGTTTAACCATCTCGGCCCACAAGTGACACCTCCTAGTATGGACTAACTAGTATCATGGTCCCACCTAGATTAAAGGAGGCCTGAGAAATGTGGTTGCTGTCTAGAAACACATCTCCCAGCCACAAATCCACACTGTGGATCTAACCATCCCTGCCACAGCTTCCCCGAGGAAGTGAGAATCTAATCTGGCTTTGCAGATAATAGCTTCTTTGTGAGCCCAGAGGAAGGAGGAGCCTGCATCACTTTTTGCAATTGAGGGGAACTTTTCTTTGTGTGTGTGTATGAATATGGCCACGTTGATATGTAAGTTTTATATTATAGTACTAGAGGCCTGGTGCATGAAATTCGTGCACGGAGGGTGGTGGTTCCCTCAGCCCAGCCTGCACCCTCTCCAATTCGGGACCCCTCGGGGTGTCCGACTGCCTGTTTAGGCCCGATCCCGGGGATCGGGCCTAAAACAGGGGGGCGAAATTCCCTTCTTCACAATCCGGGACTGCTGGCTCCTAACTGCTCACCTGCCTGCCTGCCTGATCACCCCTAACTGCCCCTGCCTGCTGGCCTGATTGCCCCCAACAGCCCCCCTGCTGCCGGCCTGGTCGCTCCCAACAGTCCCCCCCCACCGGCCTGGTCACCCCTCACTGCCCCTCCCTCCCCCCGCCAGCCTGGTCGCCCCCAACTGCCCCCCTGCCAGCCTGGTTGCCTGCACCTGCCCCCCCTGCTGGCCTAGTCACCCCACGCAGCCTGCTGTTCAATCATTCAGTCGTTCCTCACTAACCCCCTGTTGGCCTGGTCGCCCCATGCAGCCTGTTGTTCGGTTGTTACTGTTACTATGACGGCATCCCGGACAATTTGCGTATTCCTCTATCATTAGTATAGATTGGAAAGGTAGAAGAAGGAAAACTGCATGTAGCAGGTAACTTTATGACCTTGGGTGATAAGCTCTCAAAGTCACTTTTCCCCACCTGTAAAATGGGTTTCATGTATCCTTGGAGTTGTGCTCAGCTCTAGCGAATTGCAATTCTTCAGATGTAGATTCTTTGCTTCTAATTGTCTTATCATGTGTAATATCAAATCTGTGGTGTTCATCTTGGTCATTTATTGAGCACACACTGGGTGCCACTGTCCCCTACATTTTACATTCATTATCTCATTGACTCTTCACAACATCCCTTTAAGGTTGATCTTGTCCTGTCCTTTCAAAGGTGAGGAAACAGGCTCAAAGAGATTAACCTGTGCCTGGCCACAGAGCTGGATTTGAGCACCAGGCTACCCAACTCTAAAAGGAACAATTTTTTCCCCTATACCCCATTCCTCCATCCTTTCTTTTCTTTTTTCTTAACCCCTTAGGAATAGAAACCATATACACTACGTTTAGACTCCTTAACATTTCAGGGGTTTTCAAATGAAAATTTCTTCTTGAACCCTTTTTGTCTCATTGTTAAAACTCATCTTATATACTTCTTAGTGTGTTTCTGTCAGTTCAGGACTGGATGTAATGGCTCAGCTGGAAGTATTATATTTGCTAAAGCAGTACTCTTGAGAGCTATTAAGAATACATTTGGAATGCATGTCTAATGCCTTCTATGAAAAATGACTTTGCCAAATGGCAATTGGAATTTAAAAACCATTTGGGGATGTTTATTTTTCTCCAGTCTGGAAAACAGGTAAAAGTTAATGAATTTCAGATTAATTTCTTAATCACCTCTCTAATTATTTTAACTCTAAACTTTTTAGGCAAATATTCCATGTCCTGGACCTCATGAATATGGACATGGCCAATTTTCTAATTAGGAGTTTTAGACCACATTTTCAACGCCAACTGGTGGATTATGAGAGAACTAAGTTCCAGGAAATTTTAGAAGAAACTCCAAGTAAGTACAAGATAATTGTATATTTACATTGAAATTAAGTGAAAATATGATATTTTATTTTTGACATCTTAAGAAGTGTCACTAAAGAATTTTGGCCTTTCTGTTAAACTTTTTTTTTTTTACTTTTAAAATTAACATCACAAATGTATAGCTGTGTACTATGTCCCAGGAACTGTGCCAAGCACTATTCATTTCTTGATGCATGAAAAACAATATTTATTGAGCACCTGCTGTATCCCACACACTGCTTGGGTGCTGTGGGCATTGCAGTGAACAAAACAATAAAGTTGTGGCCACCAAGGAGCAGATATTCTAGTAGGCAAACTTATTATCAGCTTTGTTGTTAAGTGCTATGAAGAAAAATAAGATAAAAGGGCAGACAGGAATGGTGCAGGAATGAGGGTGGGGAGTGTTTGTATTTGAGGGTTTTTTTAGGTGAAGTGGACTGGGAAGGTCTCTCTCACAAGTAGCATTTCAACAGAGTTTGCCAAGGAACGAGAAAGAGGAATGTATAGATGTGAAGGAAGAATATTCCAGCCAGAAGTAGCTGCAAACACAAAGGTCTTGAAGCAGAAATGTGTGTGTGACGTTGGACAAACATAGGCAGATGGTGTGGCTGGCATAGAGTAGGCGAGGAGAGAGTGGTTGGAGATGAGGACAAGAGGTAAACAGTACATAGAGCCTTGTTAGGAAATGAGAGGAATTTAGATTTCATGCCACGAGTGATGGGAAGTCCTTGGAGAGTTTTGAGCAGAGAAACAACATCTAATTTTCATTTTTAAAGAATACTCTGGCTCTCGGGTAAAGAATAGATTATATGGAGCAAAGAGGGAAGCCAGGGTACAGTTATGTTGTATTGCAGTTGCCCAGGCAAGAAATGATGGTGGCTTGGTCAGGTGGTAGTGCTGGAAGTAGTAAGAAGAGGTCATATTCTGGATGTATTTTGGAATGGAGTAACAAGATTTTATGAAAGTTGGATGAGGGGGAAAAAGAGAGGAGTTGAGGATGACTTTAAGGTTTTCACCTGAGCACCTGGCTGAATAGTGATACCTGTTAGTGAGATGGGGGAGATAAAGGGAAAGAAGGTTGGGGGAAGCTATGGAATCATGTTCAGTTTTAGATAAAATGATCTCTGAGATCTTGTTTGACATCAACATGGGGATGTCAGGTGGGCTTTTAGATACGAGACTAGAGTATTAAAGAATGGGGATATGTGTTTGGGAACCCTCAGTATATTTATGGTAGATGAAGCCATGTAACTAGATAACATATATAAAAGCTTACCACATTCTAAGTTCTTCACCTGTGTAACTAATTTAATCTTCACAGTAACTTTAGGAAATCACTCCCTATTTTATGGATGAGGAAACTGAGGCACAGGGAGGTTAAATCACTTGCCTCCATAATACAGCTTGTACGTTATAGAGCTGGGACTCGCCTACCCGTGGTCGGCAAACCGCGGCTCGCGAGCCACATGCGGCTCTTTGGCCCCTTGAGTGTGGCTCTTCCACAAAATACCGTGTGCGGGCGCGCACGTACAGTGTGATTGAAACTTCACGGCCCATGCGCAGAAGTCGGTATTTTGTGGAAGAACCGGTATTTTGTGGAAGAGCCACACTCAAGGGGCCAAAGAGCCGCATGTGGCTCGCGAGCCGCAGTTTGCCGAGCCGCGGTTTGCCGACCACTGGCCTAGGCAGTCTGGCTCCACGGCCCCTGCTCTTATCTGCAGTATTACACTGGATGTGATGACCTAAGGCAGTGATGGCGAACCTTTTGAGCTCGGCGTGTCAGCATTTTGAAAAACCCTAACTTAACTCTGGTGCCGTGTCACATATAGAAATTTTTTGATATTTGCAACCATAGTAAAACAAAGACTTATATTTTTGATATTTATTTTATATATTTAAATGCCATTTAACAAAGAAAAATCAACCAAAAAAATGAGTTCGCGTGTCAGAGGTTCGCCATCACTGACCTAGGGAGTGAGTGTAGATACAGAAGGGGCCTGACCTGGACTCTAAAGCATTTGGAGCTGAAGAGAAGGATCTAGCAATTGAAACTGTGCAGGAGTAACCAGAGTTAATGAATGCCCGGAGAGAGTGGTGTCCCGTAAGACATGTGAAGAAAGCGTTCAGAAGAGGAAGAAGTTAGCAGCTGTGATAAGTGCTGCCAAGTAGTCAAGAAAGATGAAAGCCACGGCTTGACCACTGGATATGACTACATGAGGATCCTTGGTAACCTTGATAACCTTGATGGGAGCAGTCAGTGAACGAGTGGGCCTTAAAACTGGACTAGAGGGGGTCAAGAAAGAATGGGAGTCAAGGAGGTATTACCTTGGATCCACACAATTACTCAAGGAGGTAGATACTGTTATACCCTCATTTCATAGGCAAGGAACTGATAACTTCACAGCTGGCAAGAGACGGGCTAACTGGTTCTCTCATTGGCAAACCCATCTCTGGACTTTAATTCACCACAGTCTAAGGCTGAGTTAGGGGATCCATCCACCTCATTCCACCCCTTGTGGACTGAGCTTTTCTGTCAAGATAGTCAATATGATAGCATTATGTACACAAAGCCAAGCAGGAGCTGCTTGTAAACATCCAGGAAAGAGAGCATGTGTCATGGAGGGCCACAGGAGGAATAATCGAACAGCTGGGCACTTCTGCTTGGCAACAAGGAGACTCAGGTGGGCCATGAGCTCTGCCCTGTTGATAGTCACTCAGGGATTTTGGTTAAGCTCTGTAGGCCGAGCAGGATCCATGGGAGGGAAGTAGCAGCCAGAACTATTTTAACATTGGAATGAGCCGCTCTTTTATAATAGTAGTCTGTGTTATCTACATTTTATTTGAGCACTTATTAAGTGCCATGTCCTTAGTCTATGCCAAACACTACATTTAACCCATTCAAGCTCATAATAGCTGGTACTATTATCATACACTGTTTACAAAGGAAGAAATTGAGGTTAAGGTGCTTAACCCTAAGTGACTGCTAGTAAGTGGTAAAGCCTGGATAACCCAGTTATGTTTCTGCCCCAATGCATGTGCATTCAACCACTGCAACACTGCCTCTCTCCCAGCACAATATTGAATGTCTTTGGGGGATTGGCAGAGGGAGCTCTGGCATCAGGGGGTATATAAGACTAGATGACTTCTCAGGATCCTTCTACATCAAAAAGTCTATGACTTCAGGGCTATGTTGCTTTAGTTTCAAAGCGAGAGAAGGATCGAGGGAACTAGAACCCCACATAGCCTGAATCTGAAACCTGAGCAATAGTTTGTTCTTAGCAGTGTTTTCCTGAGACTTAATGGTTGGTTTTGTTTGTGTGCCTGTGTATGTGTGTATGTACACATATGTATAAATGTCTCCATGTTTTGAATAAAAATAGCTTGGAATTTTGAGCAAATTCCTTAACATAGGGTTAAATTATGGTTTTGCTCATCTCAAATGATTTATTTCTCTCCTTAAAACCTTGGCTTAGTGACCTGTAATTCACTTGCACCTTTCACATTGACTTGGATATTTTCAGAGATTTAAGAATAGAATAAATCCTGTTGTGCATATAGGTCATTATTGCCCAGGCTCCAGATATGTTCCCAGACAAGTCAAGAGTCCAGGAAGCAGAGTGTATGTCAGGTGTTAATTATATCCTTAACTGACTGCCAAAAGTCGGCCACTGTGCCCTGATATCAAAATAAGAGCCTCACAGTATCACAGAGAAAGACAAAAGTGTTGGATTTTTGTGTGTACATGATTTTTATAAAATAATTATTGGAAAATTCATATAGACAAGGACTGAGTTTCTGAATTGACTCCAAAAAATTTTTTACTTTGCTGACACAGAGATTTTATATATGCATCTGCCTTACTTAAAATACACCCAAAAGATTTCACTTATATGAGGAATCTAAGAAAAAGCAAAGTAAATGAGCAAACCAAACAGAAACAAACTCATAGATATAGAGAACATTTTGACAGTTGCCAGGTGGGAGGGGTGTTGGGGGTATGAATGAAAAAGCATGGCTCAGTGGTTGAGCATCAACCTATGAACCAGAAGGTCACAGTTTGATGCCTGGGTGCAAGCTCGATCCCCAGTAGGGGGCGTGCACAAGACAGCCGATCAATGATTCTCTCTCATCATTGATGTTTCTCTCTCTCTCCCTCTCCCTTCCTCTCTGAAATCAATACAAATATTTTTTTAAAGGGGAGAAGGACTAAGAAGTATAAATTGGGCCCTCGCCAGTTGGTTGGGGCATTGTCCCATACACCAAAAGGTTGCGGATTCAATTCCTGGTCAGGGCACATACCTTCGTTTCGGGTTCGATCCCTAGTCGGTGCATACAAGAGGCAACTGAGAAGTGTTTTTCTCTCTCTCTCCTTTCCTCTCTCTCTAAAATCAATAAAAACATATCCTCAGGTGAGGATTAAAAAAAAGAGAAGTACAAATTGGTAGTTACAAGTAGTCATGGGCATGTAAAGTATAGCATAGGGAATATAGTTAATAATATTGTAATAACTACAGCATGGGGCAAAAGTAGGTTTTCAGTTGTTCATATGGAAAATAATATAATGATTAACAAATAATAATATAAGAATAAACTCTGTGTTTCATGTACTCAGAACTGTAATCTTACTTTTGCCTCACCCTGTATGTATGGTGTCAGATGGGCACTAAATTTATCATATGATCACGTCATAAGTTATATAAATATCTAATCACTATGTTGTAAAAATAGTTCATATGTGATTTTATTTTTATAAAAGTGTAGACAAAGCGAATTGATCTGACAGAAAGCAGATCAGTATGTTTGGAGATGGTGAGGGTGGATGGGAGGGAAGGAGAAATGGTGATAATTAGAAAGACCACTAGGAATCTTTTTGGGGTGATGCATATGTTCATGGTTGTGTATATGTATCAAAACATAAAATTGTGCACTTTAAATATGTGCAGTTTATTGAATGTCAATTATGTAGTTATTGTATGTAAAGATATTTAAAATAAAGGAAAGAATGGGATAGGATAAAAATGAAATAAAACACACCAAAGAAAGCCTTTGGCAATGATTGGGTGCATGTATTAAGCATCAAAAAGATAACCAGATTAGATCCAAAAACTAAATTACCTGTGGAAAGAGTAATAAATTACCCCAGAGGGGGCCATACCACAAGTAATTTTTAAGATACTCAGAAAGAAAAAGGTTTTACTTATTTAGATATTTTACATTTGATAAAATGTTCTCATGAACTTCAAGTGCTTTTTAAAAAAATTCTGTGAGACAAATATGTTTTTAAAATACATTATTATACTGCATTGTGATTGTCTTTGCCTGGCATACAGGGATTTCAGGATATATTTATTTTAAAAATGAGCAAAGTGATGCTTAGCCATGACCTGCCCAAAGCAGAGTCACACAGTGAACAAGTAATGGAGCTAGGACTGGAAGCCAGGTCTCCCATAGCCAAGCCAAGATTAAACCAAGCTGCTGCTTTGGCAACTTTGATTATTCAGTTTTGTGTTAGATCAGCTGGGTTATATTGCATCCAGCAGAAACCAACTTTGGCTGAATTAACAAAAAAAGGAAGTGAATGGAAGGATGGAGGCTAAAGCTAAAATACCTACTTTGTCCGGCGGGTGTGGCTCAGTGGTTGAGCATCGACCTATGAACCAGGAGGTCACAGTTCCATTCTTGGTCAGGGCACATGCCTGGGTTGCAGGCTCAATCCCTGGGGCATGCAGGAGGTAGCTGAGCAATTATTCTCTCTCATCATTTATGTTTCTACTAGAGGCTCAGTGCACGAAATTCATGCACTGGGGAGGGGTCCCTCAGCCTGGCCTGCACCCTCTCGCAATCTGGTACCCCTCAGGGGATGTCCACCTGCTGGCTTGTGGCTGGATGGCCTTCTGCTACTGCACGGCCTGCTGCTTGGGCTTCAGCAGCTGCTGCACGTGCACGGGCTGGGCAACCACGGTCTGTCCTGCAAGCACCATCGAGTGGGTGAGTCAAGTGCAGAGGCAGGCTCACCCTAGTTCCCTGTGCTTCCCTGAGTCACTGAGTTGTTCAGACTGACTGACTGCCTTCTACAGAGAATGGCACTGGGATCGGGCCGAAGCCGGCAGTTGGACATCCCTTTGGCAGTCTGGGACCACTCAGGGGGATGTAGCAGTGCGCCAAACAGCAGGCGGCCAGCGACGAGCCTGAATCAGGGCCAAGTGTCGCTGGCTCTCAGCCTGGCCCGCTGCGCCTGCTGCCGCTGCTTGCTGCTCAGTAGTGCTGCTGCAGAGGAGTCAGGAGAGGCTCCTGCCGTGGCAGCTGCACTCGCCAGCCATGAGCCCGGCTTCTGGCTGAGTGTCGCTCCCCCTGTGGGAGCGCACTGACCACCAGGGGAAAGCTGCTGTATTGAGCGTCTGCCCCCTGGTGGTCAGTGTGCATCATAGCGACCAGTTGTTCTGGTCATTCTGCCATAACAGTCGCTTTGGCTTTTATTATATAGATATCTCTCTCCCTCTCCCTTCCTCTCTGAAATCAATAAAAATAAAAAATAAAAATACCTACCCTGAGCAAGGCCAGTAACCAGGAGAGTGTCAGGAATCTGGGTTGGAAAAAAAACAAAGGAAGACTCCTGGGCTCCATAGTCAGAATGGTTTATGTGTACTTCAAAACAGGTCATCCTTGAATGCTATAGTCACCAAAGTCCAGGTAAAAGACAGATAGGCATCTGGCTCAGTCCAACCGCTGGTCAAGGGCCTCTTAATTGATAATCACAAAAGAAAGCCTGGAGCAAAAGACAATGGTTTCTCAAAGGAAAATAAGTACCAAAAGAAGGGAGATGAGGTGTTGCTAGGCATAAAAAAGCAAATATCATGGATAAGTGCTCTTAGGCCCTCACTGCTCCTGGTAAATTCTTAGGACAACACACCTATAAAGCCATTGCCTGCTCTTGTGTTTCTATCCCCGAGCAGAATAGGCGCTTCTTGAGTGCAGGGACTGTATTTACTCATCTCTGATTCTCCAGCACCGGTGCGATACCTGGCCTGTAGGGGTGCTCAGTTACCATTGAATAAATGAGTGGATAGAGAGGCTTTTATTACTGTCCACATGAAAGACCTAGGGTACAGGTGCCTCGTGGAGTTGACCTTGCTTTTAGAGCCACATAGAACAGTCAATGTACCAGCTTATGAAGTGCAGTCTCAGCCAATCCCTTAGAAAAAAACCGATGTTTCACTCTAAACTCGTGTTCTTCTGCTTTACTAGTTGTACTCAATGCTGGCTACATAATAGGATCACTCGGGGTGTTTGAACAGAGATGGCTGTGCCCCATCTCAGATTGATTAAATCAGAATCTCTAGGAGCTGTGCCCAGGATCACTTTTTTTTCCTTTTTAAAGCTCCCCAGATGATTCTAAAATCAGCAAGGATTGAGAACCACTATGCTACACTCTTGCTTTTGTTTGAACTAACTAAATGGCCTTTTAAATGTGTCAGCTGTAAATGATTATGCTTGCAGTATAAATGTTTATTATGGCCACATTGTAATTATATCCATGATGATTTCTGCACACACTCTCTGTTGGATATTCTTTTAAATAAAAGACTGCAAGTACTTTGCATCATTATAAACAGAACTAGAAAAAACAAGAACAACATTTGCCAACTGAGGAGAAACAAAATTGTGAAATGCGGAGGTGGTGTTCCCTTAGTGTGGCAAACAGAGCTGCTGATAAATTACCCCTATTTAAGTGCTGGGTCTGAGGAAGAATTTCAGGGTGACTATTCTTTAGTTCGTTCTCTGGCTTTTTTTTTTAATCTGCACTTGTGTTCAGTCTACATTTTTTTAGCAATTGCCACCTGATAAATTCTACCAAATACATAGTTTTATAAGAAACGAGGATATGAAGAAAAGGAAACCCTCATACACTGCTGGTGGGAATGCAGACTGGTGCAGCCACTGAGAAAAACAGTATGGAATTTCCTCAAAAAATAAAAAATGGATCTCCCATTTGACCCAGTGATCCCACTTCTAGGAATATATCCTAAGAAAACAGAAACACCAATCAGAAAGAATATATGCACCCCTATGTTCATAGCAGTGCAATTTACAATAGCTAAGATTTGGAAGCAGCCCGAGTGCCCATCAGCAGATGAGTGGATAAAAAAGCTGTGGTACATCTACACAATGGAATACCACACAGCTATAAAAAAGAAAGAACTACTATTTGCAACAGCATGGATGGACCTGGAGAGCATTATGCTAAGCGAACTAAGCCAGTCAGAGAAAGATTAAGTATCACATGATCTCACTCATATGTGGAATCTAATGAACAGAATAAACTGATGAATAAAATAGGACCAGAGACATAGAAGCATGGAACAGACTGATGAATTTCAGAGGGAAGGGAGGTGGGGTGAGAGGAGAGTGATTAACAGGGGAACTTATTTGCATATATGCATAACCCAGGACACAGACAATAGAGTGGTGAAGGCCTGGGAGGGGCTGGAACAGGGTGGAAGGGGTCAATGGAAAAAACAACAACCACAAACAAAGGGGACATCTAAAATACAGTGGGGCCTTGACTTACGAGTTTAATTCGTTCTGTGATGGAGCTCGTAACTCAAATTACTCCTATGTCAAATCAAAAGTGAACGAGTGAGACATGTGATGTTGGGCTGATGTTGTGGTGCTCACTGTGATGTTTGCTGCGCCAACTAGCGGTGGGGTATCTGAAGCTGGCTCGTAACCCGAATTTTAGCTCACAACTCAAAGCAAAAAATCGGCCGAGAGACGGCTCGTATCTCGAAAAACTCGTTAGTCAGGACACTCGTAAGTCAAGGCCCCACTGTACTTTCAACAGTAAAGATAGATGAGAGAGAGAGAGAGAGAGAGAGAGAGAGAGAGAGAGAGAGAGAGAGAATATAAAAAGCAACTTGTTTCCAGTGGGGAACCTTAGTACTGGGTGGAAGTAAAGTGTACACGCCAGCATGCATGTGCATTTTGGGAAAGACAGCTCTACTCAGACACTCAGAGGTGTCCGGGACCCCAACATGTTTAATAATCAATGCTTTTCTTTTAAACACCTTCTCTGCACAAAACTCAAGGTCGTGTGTGAACTGGTATGTCTCCTCATCCAGTGCCATGCGCTACCACTCTCTTTCCCTTAGTTCTTTATGAACCAGCCATAACAGATTTGCTTGTAGCATCCAGAAGGTGCCATATTCTCTCACTTTTTCGGGTTTTGTATGGGCTGTTCTCCCGGCCTGGGGTGACAGCCCTTTCCTCTGTCTGCTGTGTGTCTTCAGTGTCACAGCTCTTTGTCTTAGTCTCTGCTCTGGACATCCTCTGCTCCCTCCACTCCCACTGTGCCTTCTCGTCTTTCTATTCTGCTGTAATCGTTGGTGTGCAGGTCTGTCTCCCCGTCTGGACTGTAAGCTCCTTGAGGGCCCAGCACCTAACACAGCATCTGTCTGAAGAATGCACGGATGCAGCGATCCATCAGCTGTAGGACAAATGTGTGGCCTTTTCACTTGTAGGTGCTCTTGATAAAACTACCCAGTGGATAAAAGAATCTGTAAATGAAGAATTACTTTCTGTTTCTGAGACCGGTTTAACTCCTGCGGCCGGAACCAGCTCCAAGCCACACCTGAGCCCTACACTGGTGCTAAATAACAGTTATTTGAAACTGTTGCAGTGGGATTATCAGAAAAAAGAATTTCCAGAGGTGAGTGATTTTTTTCTTCCCTCAAGTTTTCCATTATTTTCATTCTTAAGTTCTAACTATGAATCAGCTAGTCTGTCTGTGTTGCCAGGTGGTTTAATGACTTCACTGAAATCAGATAAAAATGGGAGTGTGGATGTGATATTGCTTATTTTACATTTTCGTGGTATTGAGCTTCCCTTTCTATTTTTCCATTTTAAATAAATATGCTAGACACTGATCACAGATGAAGCACGTCTTCAGGAACTGACAGAAAAGCTGAATCAATTGAAAATTATTGCCTGCCTGTCCCTCATTACCAACAATATGTTGGGTGCTATCACAGAAGGCCTCCCTGAGCTGGCAGACCGGTTAAAGAGGGTCTCGGCTGTTCTGCTCGAAGGCATGAATAAAGAGTAAGTTCCACGTGTTTTTCTCTGTTCCCCCTGTGTTAGGCTCTGCATGCATTTCAGAGAATGTGAGTAACCTTGGACATTTGGATGTGACATTCAGAACTGTGCTTTAGAGAAGCTTATCTCATACCTTTTTCTAGAATTTTTTTTACAATATATTTTTATTGATTTCAGAGAGGAAGGGAGAGGGAGAGAGAGAGATAGAAACATCAATGATGAGGGAGAATCACTGATTGGCTGCCTCCTGCACACCCCCTACTAGGGATTGATCCTGCAACCCAGGCGTATGCCCTGACCGGGAATCGAACTGTGACCTCCTGTTTCATAGGTCAGTGCTCAACCACTGAGCCACGCCGGCCGGGCTAGAATTTCTTTTAATATCTCTGAAGGCTTAAGTGTCCTTTCATAGGAAGGGAAAGGTCTTTTCCATGACAAATGCCAGGGTGAGTGTAGTATTTCCACTGAGGATGGGTGTGTGCAAAAGCCCTTCTTTGATGGAGCTGTGGAAAAAAACAAAAGCCAGAAATCCACCTCGCTCAGTCTTCAGGATGCCCTGTCAAAGAGGCTTTCCAGATTTAGTAGTTCTGACACCATCATTTTTCTATAACGAAATGTTTACCAACTTTACTGATCCCGAGAGCTACGAAGCCTTGAGAAGCAGTGACCTCTCTGTCCTTTGGAGATGTTACACAAGTTCACTGAAGGTTTTGTTTTTGTGAAATTCATTTCCCAGTATCATACCTTCACTGAATACTAGAATCCCATTGAGATTTTGCAGTTAGGTCATCCTGCTGGGAATCTGGTCCAAGTCAGAAAACTGCTCATCTCAGTCGGTGGCCACCTTTCCACAGGTCCTATATGGGTTAAGCGCCTCCTGCTGGTGGCTTCCCTTTGAGGTGTTTTCAGGGACACGGACTCTCCCTCTCATTGAAGGGAGCGAGATGCACCTGTTCCCATATTCCTGCGCATTACTCAGAGAGCACATAAATTACCTGGTAAAATCCTAGGATATTAAGAGCCAAAAGGAGCCTGAGTGGTTACAAAATCCAACGTTCTCATTTTGAACAGAAGCCCAAGGTTTTGCATTGGGCTGCACAGCAAGAAAAGGGCAAAGCAAGGCCTGAGCCCTGGTCCAACTGTCTCAAGGCCCTGCCCTTTCTACTGATTTCTTTTTTAAATTGTTTTGAATATTTTTTAATATTATAAAAATATTATAAAAGATGCTAGAGAGTTATTGGCATAGTCATTCTCTATGAGAATAAATTCTGAACAAACCGAATCTTAAATATTAAAATTATTATTAAGGTTAAAAATACATTGTGGGGTGTTTTTTTTTTTTTGAGTCTATGTTTTTTATTTTTCAATTACAGTTTACATTCAATATCATTTTGTATTACTTTCAGGTGTATAGCATAGTGGTTAGACAGTCATATACTTTACAAAGTGTTTCCCCCAGTATTTCCTTTCCACTGGTTTTTATGCTACCCTGACAGGCTCATTTTTTTCATACTCAGGACCCAAGACCTATAATGAAAAGTAACCTCTGTTTTTGCAGTTGTTCTTACCTTAGCCTTTCCCCACACTGGGTAATCATTATTGTCCAGAAACATTTTAAACCTTTACTGAACCCCCAATGCTACTTAAGTATTAATATAAAACTACTAAGAGGACAGGTTTTTTTTTTTTATCTGAATCTAGATTTTGAAAGCCTAGTTCTGCGATTGACTTATGTACATACCCTTGAACAAGTCCCTGAATCACCCTGAGCCTCATTTCCCTTTTTTCAAAAAGGGAATAATATTTGTGTCTGTCTTAGAATTGTGAGAACTCAAGGTGATTCATGTGAAACATCCGTCTAAGCCTCCGCCATTTTCTCCCCTCCTAAAAGTTAGCTCTTAATAACTATTTAGTTGTTAAATCATTCTCTTTATAGTTCTGCCTATCTGTTTGTTTTATTATTTTGTTTAATTCCCCCCAACCTGTATTAGGAAATGATTGCAGTCAGTTCTCAATTATCCTCATTATGAATGGGTATTTACATCCATAATATTTAAAAAAAGCAGATGATTTCAATAGTCAGTAGACCCAGACGTCATTTATATTTAGTTAGATGATGCATTTTGAAAACTAGCAAGAATTTTGCCTTCTTTATTGTGAATAGGAAGTCATGGCTTATGCTAAAATTATTTTTTCCTTTAGCCTAAGAACTCATGATTAAAAGCAGGAGGGAGTTAGGTAAAAGTCAGAAGGTAAAAATTTTGCCATAAATAATTGAACTTTGGGGTGTGGAAGGGAGAAGGAAAGAGAGATAGAAACAGCAATGATGAGAGAATCATTGATAGGCTGCTTCCTGCACACCCCCTACTGGGGATCAAGCCTGCACCCTGGACATGTGCCCTGACTGGAATTCGAACTGTGACCTGGTTCATGGGTCAACACTCAACCACACTGGCCAGGCTCTTATTATTGTTAATGATGGCAATAATGATAAACAGTCTTTTTTTTTTTTCTTATGAACCATTTACTATGTGCCTAACAATCTGCCAAGAGCTAATATAATCTCATAGCAAGTTTAGTGTTAGCGTCAGGATTTGAACCCAGGTCTGTGTGACACCACAGCTTATACTATAACCACATTACATTGCCTCCTATCATTGGGCCTCTCATCCTTTAATTTCTATTTTGAACAAGATTATTTTAAAGACCCTTTCTGGATAGTGAGATGCAGTTTTCAGTCATTATTCCCCAATAGTGTAGACTCAACAAATGCACTTTCTAATTACCTTTTTCCTTACCTATTAAATAACCAACTGCTAATTACTTTTCTGAACTCTATATATTTGCATTATTGATCAGTACAATTTTCTGACCTCTATATATTTGCATTATTGGTCAGTTGCTTGAAAGTAGCAATGAGAAGGAGCTTCTTATCTTGGGTCATGATAAGAGTTTTAGGTAATTTGCCTTTTATGGAATTGACCACTAAATCTCTTCATTTCTTGTTTTGATTGGTGTTATAGGTTTACAGCTCAGGCATAGATAAAGGAATTGATTTTACCTCATTTTCCAAGCTAAAAAAAAAATCTATGAATGAAATCCACTCAGACCAAAGGTTTATTTTAAGAATTGGTATTTTCTTTCCTTTTCTAATAGCTCTGCATGAAAATGGGATTGCAGACTTATTTTCAGGGACCACATTTTTCTGCCTGTGCTTTCCTATATAAACACTATGTATAGAATTAAGTGGTTTTAAGCATGTAAAAACCTTAACTACAAAGTGGTGGTGATTGGGAAGAGTTACTATTTTTTTAATTAACTCTAATAGAGGTAACTGTTGTTTTATATAAGAAAAAAATGGGTAAATGTTTGAAATAAGTTGGTATATTTTATTTTTTATTGATTTCAGAGAGGAAGGAAGAGGGAGAGATAGAAACAACAATAATGAGAGAGAATTATTGATCAGCTGCCTCCTGCATGCCCCACATGGGGGATCTTGCCCGCAACCCAGGCTTGTGCCCTGATGGGGAATCTAACTGTGGCCTTCTGGTTCGTAGGTCGACGCTCAACCACTGAGTGACGCCGGCCGGGCATTTTGGTATATTTAAAAAAACAACAACAATAAACTGGGGGACAAAAACTGTCTCTGATGGGATTTTGTTTTCTGTTTTGTAGGACCTTTAACTTGAAGGAAGTCCTGAATTCTGTTGGTGTTCAGACATGTGCTGAGGTTAACAAGACCCTGGTGGAGAGAGGCTTACCCACTTTAAATGCGGAGGTTCAAGCTAATCTTGTAGGTCAATTTTCAAGCATTGAAAAGGAAGACAATCCTATCCGGTCTTTGATTGGTGCGTCCTCATATTTTTATCATTTTCTTCTTCAATTCCAATTTGCTTTAACTTGCTGGTTTTGACTAATGTTAACTGTCTGTCAACATTTAGTTTTAAACAATCTACCTCCTCCTTTTGGAGAATAAATATTGAAAATATGAAGCTAGTATTAATATTTTAAAAGGTTTGGGACTTGCTGCTTCTTCTGTGTGTATATGTAGTGGAGTGAGAGATGTTTCAGGGCCTTCTATCTTACTATCCAGACAGTAGATTTTTATGAGGAAAATAACAAAATGCTGCCAAGTAATGATAAAATCTAGATTCTAGATCCACGTGACAGTCCAAACCAACTGACAGTATGTTCACAGAAAGTAGACATCAGTTGTGGGTGAGCTAGCCTCGGCCAACCAAAACCCCTTTCCTGGTCAGACATAAGGAGACAAAGAATGAGAACGCTATGGAACTGGGGGGCATATGGGTGGGCTTTTGTTGTACTTGCTTGCTAAGAACGTGAATATCTGGGTGTCAAGCTGTGTTGGTAAGTTGGGAAAATGGAGGATGTATCATTAGGACATTTCTGTTGCTCGTGACTGAGAATCTAAACTAGCTTAAGCAAAAAGAGAATGTATTTTCTCATGTAACTGAAACGATGAGAAGTAGGGCTGGCTGCAGGTACAACCAGAGCTCAAACTGTGTCCCCAGCACTAGTTTCCCCACTTCCAGCCCTCGGCACTGCCTTCCTCTGGGCTGGCTGCCTCACAGGTCATCTCTTCCCACACAGTGAGACAGCTTCAGCTCAAGCCTACATCTTCCCGTGTTTATTTTTATTTTATCTATTTATTTTTGTTAATCCTCACCAGAGGATATTTTTGCCATTGCTTTTTAGAGAAAGTGGAAGATGGAGGTTGGGGAGGGAGGGAAGAGATGGAGAGAGAGAGAAACATCGATGGGAGAGAGACACATCAATTGGTTGCCTTCCACCCACACCCCAACTGGGGCCTGGTATGGAACCTGCAACCCTGTTTTTTCCACCCCTCTCTCCCCAGTCCAACTTTCCTGTTCTTTTAAAAATTTAAGCATTTTTTTAAACCTCATTCAAAGTATTGTTGCCTTGACTGGGAATCGAACCCGCCACCTTTTGGTGCATGGGCTGACACTCTAACTACTGAGCAACACCAGCCAGGGCTCTTCCCCTGTTTAAAACAAGGAGTTGGCTTCCCTGGTAGCTCATTGGCTCCAGTTGGCCGGACTGTGGGTCATGTTCCATTCTTGAATCAGTCTTGGTAGCCAGAGGGGAAGGAACTTAGGGTCCAAGGCATGTGTTCACCATGGAGCCAGGGTGAGTCACTTTAGCTATAACACCTGGTCTGAGAATAGGGGACAGATGGTTTCCCCCAAACAAAATCGGGTGCTGTGGTCAAAAGAAGAGGGAGCAGGTGATGTGGGGCACAAAGCAAGTGTCTTCTATCGAGAGTGAGAAATAAAGACTAGAAGGAAGAAGGGAGTGTAGAATAGAACACAGTAACATTCTGGGACGAACCTGCAAGTTTTTGAAATACAACATTGACTTCCCTAAGAATACAAATACTTGTTATTACTTATTTGAGGCTCTCAAATAGTTTCTCTCATCCTTATCTCTGGAGACACGGAATGCTCGGGATCTAGGCCACACAGGCCACTTAAAAGCTCGAGGCCTCAGCCCTCCCCGAGAAAAGAGCAGTCTGGCGTGCAACACTGCAGGCTGCTGGAGGGGGCAGTTGATCACAGTAACAGGCTCAGCATGACCACAGCGGCCTGTGGCTGAGCCCTCTGCTGCATAACCTTCACTGGTGACATGTCTGTCCGCACAGCCCGTTATCTCTAGCTGAAGAGCTGATCCCTGGGAGATGGTGTTCCTCAGAGGAAGAGAGGCAGACACTGCAGTCTCTGCCACATGTCGCGTGTCCCCCACAGGTGTGCAGGCCTCGGGACGGGGTGCATGTTTGTGCACTGCTGTATCCTTGTACCACACTGGGCCCATAGATGACACTTAGTTAATATTTGTGGAGGGGGCGAAGGCAGCGGAGACTTAGTGGTTAAGCGACTCTCCCCCAAGGTCACAAAACTAGCCGGTTGCAGGGTAGGGAGTCTTACTGAGCCTGTCTGACTCGAGCTCATGTTCTTTACTGCTCTGGTTGGAGCCGAAGCCCTGCTGCTTGTTGACGGTGGCCGGAGCATCCAAGTGTCCTCTGCGCCCTTGCTTTAGATAAGGGAGGTACTTGCAATGCCATAAGAGAGGGGGGAGCTGGTAAAGCAACTTTTTTCCACCCCTCTCTCCCCAGTCCAACTTTCCTGTTCTTTTAAAAATTTAAGCATTTTTTTTAAACCTCATTCAAAGTATTGTTGCCTAGCAACTTGAGTGACTCACTTGAGCGGCTCTCTTGTGACTCTAGAAGCCAAGAGCACGCCTTTGGCAGGGACTCGGTTTGGCTGCTCCTAACTGGACAAATGCTTCTGTCATTTTAGTCTTGACCTAAAAACTGACTCGTCCACAGAGGAGACAGAACCACTTCTCAGCATAAATAACAGTTTTGAAGAGTTTTATCCTTGAAGCAATCTTATGGGAAACTGTTTGGACCATATCTGTGATGACAATAGACCTGGGCTCTGGAGAGTCAGGCAGCCAGTGGAACGGGATCTTTGGTACACGATTGATTCTTAATGTCCTGCCCACAGAGGAGTTAGGAGAAACGAAGCACTTAGAGGACATAAAAGGGCTTGACCAGCATTAGCCATGGTTCTCCTCCCCTGTGCACAGAACCCACCGTGGTCTGCTGCTTCTGTTCCTAGTTGGTGTGCTGTTTATTTACGAGGCAATTACAACTCCTACTGTGTTCTTAGACTTTTAAAAAGATAATTAGAAAAGCTTTCTTTCAAGCTAATGTTTAAAAAACGCATACCCAAACCAGGTACATACTATTTGTAGCTTACCTACTGTGTAGATTATTTGCATGCTTGTAGCCATCTGCATTTAAAAAAAATAATTTTCAATTGTACGGGTTGTGCATACATGAGTAATTTCTTCTTGTTGACAAATTATGGGGAAGGCCCAAGTTACCTGTGACTGCCTTTTCCAGCCCCCATTCCTCCCTGGGTCCCCTTGTCTTCAATTTGGCATTGATCTTTATAGACCTTTTTCATTCCATTCTTACTTCAATTCAGTCAGCATTTGTGACCTGCCTGCCACATGCCAGACCAGGGATATAAAGATAAAAAAGAGTAGCCCTCGCCCTCAGAGAGCTCACCTAAGCAGGGAGAGACACATATAACAGAAAACAATAATATGGTGTGATAGTCTGACAGGTGTTAGGGAAAGCCACAGAATGAGATAACTTTAGGCTTGGCATTGAAGGTTGCTTTTGACTTGGGGCAGAGATGAGGTGAGATGGAAGAACATTCTAGTAAGAGGAAGCAATTCTGGCTATGACATGGACATGGGATATTGGGAATTTTGAGTTCTAGGACAGATCTGGCTAGAATGTGTGACTTTTGGGAGAAGCATTTGGAGATACGAATTTCATTAATGCCATAGTTGTCTGCATTTGATGGAGTTTATTCTCCTTAGTTCACCTTCTTTCTGAGATTTCTGTTTCCAAGGCCAGAGAAAGGGCTGGGAGCAGCATGAGACATAGCAGGTCTGGTCTGTCCAGTGCAATTTTTCCAATACTTATACAGCCCGATTTATTCATGCATTTGCTTGCTTTTGTGAAATAGTCTCAAATGTGGATCGTTGAAGCAGTGGGGTGCAAAGGGCGAAGAAGATGGCAAATTGGAGTGCCAGTTGGGGTGGCACTTCTTCAGTGCCTTCAGATTGTTGGCCATATGTTGGGTGAACATGTGATTTTTTTGTCGAAACCAGGACACTTTTGAGAGTGCTCTTTTTAATTATGCCAAGACAACAGGTGTAAACTTCAACTGTCCTGGGAAAACCTGGATGTGTGGTAATTTGCCATGTGGTAATTTGGGCCCCTAAGTTAACCAGATCTCTAGATTTTTTCAAGAGGAACCAGAAATTTAGATTTCTATTTGAATTCCCCTGACCTTTAGTGGTTTATTTTTTAAAAGCACTATGTGGACCAAACTGGCAGTGCCAGTTTACAAAGTCTGTTTTAGTGTACATAACTAAAATGATAAGCATTAAATATTGAGTTTTTGTAAAAGATTCCCTGCCTTACCCCCAAAGTGCTCTGCATTTTAATCAGTTAGCTATTGCCCCATAACAAGTCACCCTCAGACTCCATAACTTAAACAAAAAAATATTTAGTATTGCTCACCAGTCTTTGGGTCAACAGGGTAGTTCTTTTGGTCTTGCTGGACCCACACATGCATATATGGTCAGCTGTGGCTTGGAAAGGTAGCCCTGCTGATGTTGGCTGGGCTCTCTCAAGTGTTTGAGAGTTAGTTGGCTCCAGGTTGATCTAGGACGGCCTCAGATAGAAGAGCTGCAGTCTTTCGTCAGGCCCAGGCTTGTTCACATGGTAGGTAGAGAAAGCAGATGCGAACCTGGCCTCTTCAGGCCTCTGCATGGAACTAACATACCAGCACTTACGCTGTGCTCTGTATTAGCCAAAGGAAGTCATAAGGCCAGCCACAATTCAAGACCGAGGGAAACAGACTCCAACCTGTAATGGGAAGAGCTGCAAAGCTACCTTGTAAAGGGCATGGATATAGGCAGGGTAAAGAATTGGGAATAATGTTATAACCCACCTACCATAATTACTATTCTCATGTTTTAAAAATTACGTGCTTTAGTAATGGGACAGATAAAGATAATCTTCTTTTCTCACAGATAAACGAATCCAGCTATACTTGAAGAGCCTACTTGGTCTTCCAAGCCCTCAAAAATGCCTGCCTCCCATGCCCGGAGGTCTTGCTGTCATTCAGCAGGAGCTGGAAGTGCTAGGCTGTCAATATGCTAACATCGTGAATCTCAACAAACAAGTGTATGGACCATTTTATGCAAATATACTTCGAAAGCTGCTCTTTGGTGAGGAAGCCACAGGGAAGACAGATGCTTCATCTTCTGCTAACTAAAGAGGAACTGACGTTGGACAAGAGATTGGAAATCCATACTTCAGTATGGAGTCTGTTTCCATCAGAGGCATTACAGATGCGGCACATTCTCAGTCCTGTTGGTGGTGCAGTGTTAGCCCGAACCTGTGTAACCCAGTAACGTTAGGATTGCAGGAGACACGCACATCATATACACTCTACTCGTGCATCATTTTCAAGTTCAAAAGAGATGTTTCTCATGATCAGAAAGCAATTTGTAATTAATTATATTACCCACATAATACTTGTGTTTTCTTAAACATTTATATCTGGCTGATTCATTCAACCCTTAAGGAGTTGTATTGCCTCACTTGTCGCTATCAAACCTAATGATTTTTAATATTGGTACAACTTAAAGGGTTGAAAGGTGTGATAATAACCAAGGGGATTGATGTTCTGAATACATGATGTAAGCATAATTGTATTTGAAATGTACAATGAAAAAAAATAAATCAAAAAAGACATGTACAAGGAAATTTTATTAATGTGTAATAGAAACTTACATAGTAAGTCCTAAAATTCCTCAAATGTGCCAGTTCACATTTTATAATACCAACTGTCAGTATTTGTGTAGAATTTAAATTTATTAAATATATTTTAAAGCTATATGCAAATTTTAGATAAAACCTCCATTGTTCACTTAGTGAAATTAGAAGCCAATCCCTTCTAAGAATTTATTCTGGAGGTTGGTTTGTTCTTGCAATTTATCCTGCTCTCTGAGAGAAATGATTTTTGCACAAATCTCTTAGTGAATGTCTTTGCATTTCTCAGGCCATTGGTAAGGTTTGTATAAGATTTTAATATTTTTACATAAGGCAGGAATGGTTTGATTTGGTTTACCTGTAAGAAGAAGGGAAGTTTAACAATAAAAAGCGATGCCAGGAGATTCCCATTCTCATGAAGGAGAAGTAGCTGAACTTTGGATTTTTTAACCACATCGCTCCCTAGCAAATGCCTTGTGTGCTGATTAGATACATACCCTGCTATGACCTAGGTGCTCTTCTAAGCATCGTTATCATTTGACATTCTTGAGCATGAAACCATTTGGCCAAGTCGGCACTGGTTGTCATTAGAGAAAGCTGCTTGTCCTGGAAGTGCATACTTTTTTGAAGTGTTCAGGGAAACATTTCAGTTTGGGCGGACTCAGGCGAGAAAAGTGCTTTATTTGCTAAAATACATTTTTGGTTTTTTTTCCCCCTAAGGACTCAGTAGCTTGCTGGGGAAGAGCGGGTATGACGTTGAAAGTTTTTTCTTCCTCACCCCTTTTGCCTCACCACGGCCTCCACCAGGATGGTGCTGCTCCTTTATTTGACAAAGTTCTAGGAAATGATTGTGTGAATAAATTATCTCCAATCTTCACATTTTGGAGGGATCTGCCAAAATCTGAGGAAATTTTGAAAGTCAGTTTTTTCTCTCACAATGACCAATACAGAAATCAGCCAGGCTGTCCATTTCGGCCGGGGTTTGTAAGTGGAAACCTGCCGAAGAGCACGTCACTGGTCTCACCACGCCCTCTTCCTGTACTTCCATTCTGCCCGCGCTTTTCTATGCTTAGAAACCATACGGTGCTGAAGATTTCGTTTTCATTTTCTCTTAAATTGAAGTCGTTTCAACTGTGTTCACTTTGGGGCATGGGCAGCAGCGGAGGTCTAATATAGCAACGGAATGTATTGTGTGATTTTTGTTGTTGTTATTGCTGAGGTGAACTGTATACTTATCAGAAAGACCAGGTGCACTTTTTAATTATCGGGTTGGAATCCAGCTGGTGTTCTTATATACTTGATTATACTGCGATTGCCAGCAGGAAAACAATGTGCAAACATTTTTTAAAAATGTATTTTAAATGAAGGGCATTCTGCTTTTTTTTGCTTTTTTTTTTTTTAAGTGGCAAAGTAAATCTCAATGTCTCAAGTCTGGATTTAGGCAACTACATTTATTAGGATTTTTGTATCATATCTCTTAGCATGTTGTTTATTTGGTTTTTTACCTAAATGTTTACTTCTGCTTTTAAGGTTTTCTTACCATGGTCTTGTTTTGTAATGTCAATTTTATTAAACACCATACATACATTTTCATTCTTCTGCTAAGACATGTATTGTGTGCACTGTTAAATTTTAAACATTAAACATTATTTCAACATAGCTAGTGTCTGTTTGTCTTCTAAACCAACTTTGGGGAGCTCAGGGCTAGAACACTGTACAGTCTTTTTTGTATTTGTTCTAGAGATCCTTCTGCTGATCCTCGGACCCTTACAGACACCAGATCATATTCAGTCAGTCAGTCAGTCAACAAACACCTATGAGCATTTTCTATGCGCCAAGAAGTATCCGAGGTGTAGTGATAGATGACTAGACAGACACTGTCCTCAAGGAGTTTATTACTGCCCAGCCGGTGTGGGTCAGTGGTTGAGCATCGACCCATTAACCAGGAGGTCATGGTTCGATTCCCAGTCCGGGCACATGCTGGGCTCTCTCCCCAGCAGGGGGCGTGCAGGAGGCAGTGATTCTCCTCATCGTCGTTTCTATCTGTCCCTCTCCCTCTTTGAAATCTTTAAAATATTTTAAAAGTTAAAAAAGCTTATTACTAGGAAGGATGAAATTGTGAATAATTACAATAAAGTGTAACAAAAGCTATGAAACAGCTACACACAGTGCTAGCAGGAAAATCATCAAACTGTATTTCCTGGAGGTCATTCTTGAGCTAGAACATGAGAGAGAGCAGGAACTTGCCATGGAGCCAAGCATGAGAAAAGCGCAACAGGCACGTGCACAGTGAATACAATGGTGTGGAGATGGGGCGAGCCCAGGGGCCGGCGTACGGAAGAAGAGTGAAACCAGAAAGGCAAACAGGTTCTGGGGTGTCGTACTAAAACGTGTGGGTTTTGTCCTAAGATAAAGAATCACTGAATCTTTTGAACCAGGAGAAGGTTACCAACAAATGACTGTTTTGGAGAGACTGCCTTGGCAAAGAACACTTGCTGCTGGTGCTGGGATAGTCCTGGGGTGTGTGCATATGCATCCATGCACTTACACATGAGCACAGAGTACAGGCAGGAGAAGCAGACGCTGGCTCGCCGAGGAGAAGGGGTTTACTGGATAGTAAACCTCACAGAATCTACTTGACCTGGGGAATCAGGTTTGGGAAATGGGTAAGAACCAAGGCAATGCAAGCGGCAGGACGTCAGCCAGACTGGATTCGGTGTGTGGCTTCGGAGATTGCATTCTCAACTGTCCTTCCTTCTTGCTTAAGATTTAGCATCCCAGATATCAATATTCAGTTGGAAGGATCTAAGTCAAGTGCCCAGACTCTGATTTGCAGGGGATGGAATGAGGGAATAGCTGATCCTTAGACGCCCGTGGTCCCGACAAAGTCACCCAACTAGGGATTTCTCCTAAATTGGAAGGGGATCGTGAGGAGCAGAAAGAGGAAAACAAATCCATTACAATGTACAGTCATAAGGTCTTTAAAATTTGAAAGTAGGAAATGTGTGAGACCGCCTAGTCCAGCATTGCCTCTGAGAATGACACCAAACGTTGATTCAAGGAAGGGCATAATTACAAGAGGTCAACCTTTATTGCTGAACAAAGGCTCCCAAGTCATGGTGGCCTCAGCATAGCCTTATTTCTCCAGTTATAGTTCAAAGCAGGGGGTATGTTGCTTGGGGGTTGGGGATAATCATTCAGCCAAAGATCCACTTCCATCCACCTTGTGACTCAGCTGAACCCTACATCTTCAGAGTCTTCTCCCTTCACTCAGTAGATGGGGAAAGAAAAAAACTGCCCACTTCCACGCATGGTCCATTCCAGAACCCAATCCCATGGCCTCATCTAACTGCAAGGGAGGCAGGACCATGTGCCCAGGAGAAAGAGGCTGACATGAATACTGGCAAGCACCCAGCTTCCTTGAAGATGAACCTTCTTTTCATGAAAATAAGTTTAAAATTGTGTGTCTGTTCTGATCTTCCAGTAGCTCCCCAGAGCACTGTGTTGGGATGATTTTGAAGCCAGCCCCAGGACAAGCAGTAGAGAATTCTGGGTCCGATTGGTAAAGTATCCACGGGCATGGGGAACGCCACCTCTTGTGCAACATGTTTTTATTTCTCATTTGACCCCCTTTTTGAAACTGGAGTTAAGCCTGTCCTACCTCTGAGGATGTTAAGATGCAGAATTTTCCACTCCTTTAGTAAAAGTAGCATGGGACTGTGAGTCACAAGATCTGAGGTGGAATTCACTTTCGCTAGTTAACAGCTATGTGAACTCCAGCCAGTCTTTTAACTCCCTGAACCTCCCAGATGGAGGCTGCCTACCTTACACCTGCCTAACCTACTGCCTGCCTACCTCACAGAGATATGGTGAGAATCAAACGAGATAATGTACTTGCAACTGTCTGCAAATCCTAAAGCACAATGCAGCCAGAATGCATTATAATAACTGTAATTTATCAGTCCTAAATCTCTTTCAAGCTTCACGAGGTTTTAGTCTAGTGAGATGCGATGATTAAGTACTTACGTACACAAGAACAAAAATTGTCGTATCTCATCAGAACCATGGCTCATTAAGCTCAATATTGTCATTGGCAGAGAAACTCAAGGGTATGTGGGAGGCTGCGGTGATTGTCCTTGATGTCAACTTCAAAGGATAAGTGACAAAACCCAACATGTTCTGACTTCCTTTCATGAATCAAACGTGACTTTATTCTCCATGATTTAATCGAACCTTTGAGAAGTAGCTTTGTATTATCCACCTGTTCCCTCTTGTTCTCTGTTTTTGAAGTGAAGCTTTATCTTTTCATTTCTGAGCTTACTATGTTAGCCTCTTTCAGGTTTCAAAGGAAGGGACCTAGGGATTGGGTGGGAGGCTTTAGAAAAAGAAAGGAAACCCAGGAATCTGTCCTAACAGCTGCACTGGCAGACTTGGTGGAGAACCTGAATATAACTTTTCCCCTTCAGAATAGAATAAAATAATAACAGCCACCAAGCACTTACCATATGGCAAGGACTACCCTAAGCACTTGATATAAATGGTCTTATATATCTGCATAATAGGCAGGCTCTCTCATTTTTCCATTTGTGCAAAATGAGACTCAGAGAGGCTGAGGCAGTCATCCAAGGTCACAGAGCCGTTAAGTATATTTGAACTCAAAGAGTTGACCCCTGGAATGCATGCTCTTAACTATTTGCTACATTGGTTTCCTTAGGTCACCAAAGGAAGATTTCTTTTCTTTTTTTGCTGTTGTTAATCCTCACACATGAATATTTTTCCATTGATATTTAGAGAGAGTGGGAGGGAGAGAGACAGAGAGAAATATCAATGTGAGAGGGGCCCATCGATTGGTTGCCTCTAGCACACTCCCTGACCAGGGCCGCGGATCGAGCCTGCAACCCAGGTATGTGCCCTTGACCAGAATCGAACCCAGGACCCTTCAGTCTGTGGGCCAATGCTCTATCCACTGAGCCAAACCAGCTAGGGCAGAAAATTTACTTCTTATTGTCGTGTTGCTACCAAATGCTGACTTGATAGTTACTTCTCTGCTTCTGCTTTCTGTTGCTGCCCTCTCTTTTATTTTTGTTTTTTAATATATTTTATTGATTTTTTACAGAGAGGAAGGGAGAGGGATAGAGAGTTAGAAACATTGATGAGAGAGAAACATCGATCAGCTGCCTCCTGCACACCTCCTACTGGGGATGTGCCCGCAACCAAGGTACATGCCCTTGGCCGGAATCGAACCTGGGACCCCTCAGTCCACAGGCCGAGGCTCTATCCACTCAGCCAAACCGGTCAGGGCTGCTCTCTCTTTTGGTTCATCTTCATGAAAAAGTCCCAGGAGAGAGAATGTGATTGGGTCTACCTGCCACTATTCAGTATGGACAGCCCCTGTCCCACTGCCCCTCAATGGGTAGGGGACCTCATGACAAACAACCTCAGCTCCCTTACGGGACTGTCTTTGGCAGATTCCTGGCCCTAATGCTTTGGGCAGGATGACAACGTCACAGGAGGCAAAGCAAGGCTTTTGGAGCAAGGCCTGTGGGTATGGCCGGCAGCTGGACCACCCAGTCTTACTCAAAATGCAGAATGTTCTCTGCTTGCAGTAGAGACTTAACGATCGATTGATCGATCGATTGTATTCCTCCTCACCTTGCTGCCTGTGAAAAGACCGACTTCAAGGACCGCCCCCCCACTCGCCCTCCGCCTCCTCCACCGGCCCTTGCCTTTCACACTGAAGAGCCCTTATCCGTTATCCAACATTGTTCTGGTCTTCTCTAGTTCTATTATGAATTTATTCGGCTAGAAATCAAGTCCATACAGATTTTCCCAGCCTGAATGCACAAAGCTTTTGAAGAGAGGATAATTTTTTTCTTTTGTTTCTAGTCTCTGCCTGTTGCAGCCTCTCAGAAGGTCTAACTTTAACGTGGCATAAAAGCCACTAATGGTTCAGTCCCAAAGGATTTTTTCTAGCGTCATCCATAAACACGGCCCTTGGCAGCTCTACGGGAGAACCACACTCCATCACCAGGATGCGGCATTCCGTCATCAAAAGCCCCCGTGCCATTGCTCAGGCTGCTTTTCTCTGCTTGAAACGTCTCCCACCACCTCCTCTCAGTGAGGTATTGTGATAGCATGGCTAAAAGCACAGGCTCTGACATCAGATAATTATAAATCCCTACTCTGCTTGGCAAATTTCTTAACCCCTATGAGCGTTAGTGTCCTCACCTGTCAAGTGGGGATCATCCTACTTATCCCCCAGGCGTCCATCATTAAGTCAGAGCGTGCACGCAGGGTGGGGTTCCAATGTCTGGCCAAGAGTAAACACTCAGGAAACGGACGCTCTCTCCAATGTCTCAGGGCCCAGCCTGGACACCTCTGTTTTCCCCTTTCCTTTATTTTCTTTTAACCAATGTTGCTGCTCTTCCCCCTGATGTCATTGGTCACTTTCTCACCTGGCTACCCAAACACTTGACACATAAGGGATGGAGTATTCCAAGATATCAACCATTTTCCCTTGGCATTTCCCTTTCCCGAATTGCTCAGCCCTCTATTCAAACCACCACTCATTTTGTACCAATACCTCAGGAAATGGATGTGGCAGCAGAAGACACAGAAGTCAGGAGACTGTTCCTGGCTTTTTGGTTTCTGATTTTTCC